TATTATTTTTTAAGGTTCTAAACATCCCCCAGGAGTTCTCGTAAATACACCATCTAGAAATGAAAGCAATATGGAACATGTGTAAATCTACCAAGAGGTCGTCTTCACAAACGGAGTGAAGGAGAATAGAGAAAGAGAGACAACTAAGAAAACTGAGCACTCTAAAGGGGTTATGAGTTTCAGCAGGTGGATGGGAGAAACTGAGCATACAGCAACTGTTGCCAGAATTCTTCACCTGTCTAAGCCTTCTGGGAGAGCCGCATAGAGAAAGCCATTGTTGAAAAAATAAATAAATAAAAAGACTAAAAGACTCGTTTAACAAACTATTAATGCCTTTCTGTTAATTCATTTCCCTTTGGGATTAAAGTACTGTATTCATTCATTGGTGGTGGTGTCCAGTGTTATTTGAGCTCTCTGAGTTACCTCTGTATTTACAGAGCTATATAAATAAAGTTTGTTTGACAAGTTGACAAAAAATAAAAACTCATGGGTAACCCATCCTCTTCTGGTGAGTACCTCCAGCTGAGGTGGTGGCACTGGCAGCCACCCACCTGCTCCAGATTCTGATCGTGCTGGTTGTTGAGCCCCCTCCTGCCTGAGTCACAGCTCCGCCCCTGTCAGTCTGTCCTCCACAGCACTGACAGACAGAAGTGCTGTTAAAGCTGCCTGGACCATCCACCTCTCTGCATCTGGGGAGGAAAACAAATCCACCAGTTTCCTATCGTTTAAAGGAATAAGCCTGTCACAATGCACTGCCTGAAGCACCTGAGGACAGCTAACCCCGGGACTCTGCAGCTGATTAAAAATGCAGTCATCTCCTCCAGAGCTGGAGCTGACATGCCCAGGAGTCAGCAGCCTGCTCCTTCATCCACCCGGGCAGCATCACCCCACACCCTAAGAGCCTTTCATCTCCAAAACACATCGGATGAGGATCAAGAACATTCCAAGTAGGTCACAACTCCAGCAACAGTTATGTAGCTTTTTCATAACTCACTTTCAGTACTCTCTTCCGAAGGAAAAGTTGTGATGCTCTTTGAGCTAACTCTGTTAGCTTTAATACACTTACTGAGCTGATTATCGTTTTTATATTTCATTTGTTGTACAACAGCTGTGGCAAACAACGTACTGTGACTTTTTTTTAAATTAAAATAACATAAACCAGAAATTAAAAAGTAGAAAATGTGTAATTTTATTCGGGTTTTTTTTGTTATTTTTATTTAGCTAGCGCGGTGGTTGCCTGGCAACGCCATAAATATGACTTCAGTTAGCTAGCTAGCTGCTAACGTTAGCGCACAGCGACAGGTGGAAAACACTTTCTCTTAAAAGTTATAAAAATGTAGAAAAACAGTTAAAAATAGGGAAGGCGCCCATTTGTATTCGTGATTGTTTTAGTGTAATAAAGCCTCGCTTGCTAAACGAAGTGGTTCTGTAAAACGTTTACCTGTTTGAGACTTTTACAGTAAAAAGGGTCTCATAAACAGGTGGAGATACAATTTTAAATTAAAGTTTTATTCAAACAACTTAACATAATGTACCGAATATTGATTATACACAATATTATTGCTGCAATGTCAAGTGCACACATGCTTGTCATACACTTAGTTACTTAATAGTTTTGTACAATGTCACATCCATAATGGTGTTCTTTGTAAAGCAGTCCAATCAAAATGATACTAAAGCACAAACTAAACAGTAGAGCCATTTCAGCATTGAGTTATGTCATGTGTTTAATGCTGAGACTTTTAAATTTGTTGATGGGTTTGTTTTAAATTTGATAATCTGAGAACAGCTGAAGTCAAAGTGTTGTGTGATGATTTGCAAACATATGATGGAAAACTTTACAGTTAATTTGATCCATTATTAACAGGTCAGTCTACACGACTGGGTTTGAACATGATTGTCTCCCAGGGAAGCTGAGCCTCCCAAACATCAAGGACCTCACCACTCCTCGAAAGACATGGCAAGAAGAAGTTACATGTTTAATTGTAACATTAATTCAAAACTGGAAGGAAAAAAAAATCAAAAGTACAAAAGGATATAAACTTTACCACATGGGCTAACACTTTCACAAACGTGTGCCAATGAATACAACATTGTTTTTCACAATGCAGTTTAGAAATCCACTGGACAAAAAAAAAAAAAGACAAACTTTAAGAAGATCCTCAAACACTGCGTCCTGTTCCTAAATCTCATTAAAGAACAAGCTGGGTGACTTATCAAAATTAGCTAATCTTTTTGAAAACCTCTGGCTTTGTGCCCTCAAGGCCAACGTGGAAAAGGGCAATGCCACTTGTCAACACGCAGCTGAAATCCCAGAACCTGTGATGGAGGGGCTGCAGTATGTAATGAGTCACTCATCTGTGAAAACCCCATGAAAGCTGAACTATATACAGTAAATACTGTCATCCATATGACGGTTTGTCAGGTATTCCAACAAGTAGTTTGGACATTTTGCCTTCCAAGCCTGTGTGCATTTTAAACCTGTCATCTCTTGAATACATCTAGATCAGAAAGAAATGTAAAACAAACTCAGGACATTCAACTTGGTTTAAAAAAAACAACAAAAAAAAACACATTGGACTGTGTGAAATGATCGGTTTGTCCCTGTTGCTTGACATTTGGCAGACAGAATCATACAAGTTAATAAATAAATGCTAAATTAAATTATCATTATTCAAGGTTCAAGGTTCTTTATTGTCATTCGCATCAAATGTGGTACATGAAGTGGAACAAAATTGTGTACACAAGGTCCCAGTTACACCCAAAAATAGCAAAAATATAAAGTGTAAAAAAGAAGCAGTATACAAGGAGATATACACTAAACAATAATAATATAATATAATACAGTGTATTAAACAGCAGCCTGAACATGAGTCTGTTGTGAGCAGATGAGTATGAATATAGCAGCTTAAAGGTAGTAAATCAGCAGCATGGATAATCAGCAGCAGAGATAAAATGTCATATCACCAATTAGAGTGGCATTCCAGTAGATATTCATGAGTCTAACAGCTTCAGGGTAGAAGCTGTTCCTCAGTCTAGTGGTTCTACACTTAATGCTCCTCAACCTCCTTCCTGAGGGGAGTGGGGCAAAAAGTGTGTGTGCTGGGTGAGTGGGGTCCTTCTTGATGCAGGTGGTCCTCTTCCTGCATCTGGAGGTGTAGATGTCTGTGATGGTGGGGAGACTGACTCCAACATCTTCTGTGCAGCCTTCACCACTCTCTGCAAAGCTTTTCTTTCTGCAGCTGTGCAGCCTCCATGCCACACGTTGATGCTGGATGCTCTCCACTGCACACCTGTAGAAGGAGGTGAGGACTGAGGTTCCCAGACCAGCCCACCTCAGCCTATAATACCCTAATATATAACATTTATTTTTTGCTATAAATACTACTATGCTGTTGTAAAAGATTAACATGTTCTGGGTGTGGAACCCAAGTGCAGACTGACACAGGGAGCTCAGGGATAAAAATAAAGAAATTAATTTATTAAACAAGGAATAAACAGCTGATGTGGCAGCAGAACTTAAAACGTAGAAATATGGAGGAAATGGAACATGAGCACAATCCACAGATAAACAGGAAATACAAAGACGCTGAACTTAAAGAGACACTAATGAGACATGATGAACACCTGGGGTGGTGGGGATTGGGAACAGGTGAAGCAGGAACTGGCAACATGAAGGAAAAAACACTGGGGAAGACATAACACAAGTACATAAACACAAGAATCTAAAGAAATAACACAAAACAGAACACAGATTCTCACAAAGATAAAGATTGCATGACTTATTTAATGAATGCTTTAATGTTACAGCAATAATTGTTTGCTATCAAATAGCGTAAAAATATACCCCCCCCCCCCCCCAAAAAAAAAAAGGTTAAAAAACATCTGGACTTCTATTCTGAAGCTGAAGACATTTTGCTTCCCATCAGGGAGGCTTTATCAATTTAAACAGGTCTGGTTGTGAATACCTACAGATTAGACTGGAACTACTCGCCCTGCTCCATGGAGGCTCCTTGGCTCATAAGAGGGATGTTGTGGTCACATGCATGAAGCTCTGATTTAGAGTGGAGCAGACTGGGATTCAGACCTAATGCTGCACTGTAAGATTTTGAAAGTTGAAATCTGAGATCTCCTTCTCTGTTCAAAGTTGTTTTTTCTCGTTTGACGTAAACGGCTTCCTTCACCTCCCTCTCAAACCATCTGTGTTCTCTGTCTAAAATATGAATATTTGAATCCTCAAAAGAGTGTCCCTTATCTTTGAGATGTACGTGGACCGCTGAGTTTTGTCCTTAAAAAATAGGCAGTAAATTTCTTTCTGCTGAGCTTTAATTAGAAAGATGAGGTACTTCCAAAAGCTTATATTATGTATTAAATTCATCTGCTGTTTAAACTAAATCATGCTAAAGCAAACACAATGAAATAAATATATGAAAAGTGTATATTTTAGCTAGATTAATTATATTTTATTATTATGTTTTACTTCATGTTCATACAGCTGAAATATGATGGCTTCTTTCATAACTCGGTGTTATGTGAGCATGTCGATCAATATCTGGCCATGTGCCTTTATTTTCCCTGACATAAACATCGAGACGCTTCTTGTGCTTGTGTCGTTGGTGTTCATCCAGTTTTAAAGTATTGTGTTTGTGTTCTGTTTGACAGAAGCCGGCTGATGTCCAGTATAGAGGACTTACTTTTTTACACCATCACTGACGGCAAAGAGATGATCCCCCTGTCTCAGTTCACCTCTGTGAGTCAACACGTTCAAACTTCCTGGTTCACAACAAGGACTAAACCGAACTTCCACAGCTTATGTAAACTTTCTCATTAACACACTCAGCTGTTCTACGCCTTCTTGAAACACCTTTCATTTTGGTTTAATCAACCTTGGTAATCAAATAGCCCACAGCAAGAATCCACAGCATCTCCACCTGACTCGCAGCTTCTCATTTAGAAGGTGTCTTATATAATTTGTCTAAATGTACCTGCTGTGACGCTGTAAACTCAGCAAACTGCTTCCAGAAAGATGAGCGCATTTATTACATTATTTTTAATATATATATTAAAAGCCAAAATTACTATGATTTATTACACTTTTCAGGTTGTATGGATAGATGTGGTCAATAAATCTTAAAAAAAGTTTTATATGAGCCAGTAAGACTAGATGCAACACGCAAAAATTAATATATTCGTGTTTTTAGAGCCTTTAATTAATTAAAAATGAAATAATTTAGGGTTTAATGAGTGTGTGGTAATATTTTTCCATACATCCTTACACACAACAAGAAATGTCTGTTCTTATAGGTCACAGGTCATTTTTAAGGGACAACAAAATCAACAAAATGATCATAAAACTAAATAATACTCAAAAAAAAAATACACTGAGGAAATTAGTTTTTTTATTTATAGCTGAGAACTGTATGTGGTGTTTTAGACAGTCATGCATTGAAAAGGTAGACATCTGGTGAACTTGGTGTCCATGGCAGCTCAGACGTTTTAAAAGCAGGCATCTGTTCAGGGGACATGTGTCAACACAGGTGGCAGCTTGTTTCACCACAGATGACTGGAGGTGTTTGTACAAGTTATTCCAGGCAGGAATGGATGAATGGCAAATGTGCTGCTCAGTGTTGTTGCATTTATATAACAACTAAAATCCAACTAATAAAACTGATTTATTTATTTTTATTGGTGTTTCTACTTTAATCACCCATGAGCCGATACCTTCATAGACTTATTTTAAAAAAAAAGTTCAGTAGCTTTTTTTATATGCCCAATTTATATTATTATATTAATCAAAAACATTAATTTCATATATTGTCTTTCAAGCATCATGACACTTCTTAATTTGTTTATTAAAGAGAAAATGAATACATAATCACATTTACATCTAATCAAGTCTCTTCTGTGTACGTATTCCCGTTATGAATCCAAAACACCTCTCACACTGACACCTCACTCATTTAAAAGATAAAACTTTAAAATATTCTCAGATAACACTGTATGCAGCTCCAAATGTGACATTTCTACCCTGAAGCTAAAAAAAACCCTCCCAAACATTAAATAACTGCGGCAGTAAGCTTGTCACTATTTGTGGGGTTTATCTGCTCTCTTAAACACTTATCAAATGTGATGAGTTAAATTAAGCACAACAACAACAACACTCTGGTTTCTCTGGTCAGGAGGTCTGGAGCTCACGAGGTCTCCAAAATAGACACACGTGCTTCATTCAGCCACAGCCAGTGTGGATGGCAGTATGAGAAAGGCAACAGCAGTATGATATCGGACCTCTTCAGCTGCTTGTACACACACCTGAGGCTTTGAAATCCTGTAATTATATAGTTCATCTACACATATTTCCGATTCCTGTAGCTGACATCCAATGCTAGCAGTCACTTCCATCCGTTGTTGAATCAGTTTGTTAAAAAATAATTAATTTCTTTACTGTGCAGGCTTTGAGGAGAACAGGTTTGTTAACGTCTGACCCTCGGCTGCATGACTGCATCCGTCAGATGCGACAGTCCACACGTGACTCCATTGGGCCGGTCATGATGGACAAGAAGCTCTTCAGACGGTGAGAAAAGCTCAGGTTTATTTATGGGAGCAAAGCTGTGCAAACAGTAATTCCAAGGCGAGTTACCTGATTGGTCAAAGAGGACAAAATGCATTATTTTATTAACACATTCATTTGTCTGAATCAGGGTTCTGTGAATGTCACCGCAGCATATTCAATTAATAAAACAGATAAGCATATTCCTAAAAGTGTGTAAAAAGGTGAAACTCTGCAAGCTGTTGGGTTAAGTTAGGTTACGAGACCTCGTTGCAAGAGGCAAATTGTGGTCAGCCCTATTTGTGTCCAACAGATTGACAGACGCAGGTGTTTTGTAGTTGACAGATGCTATGAAGCATATTCATGTACATGCATGCGTGGCAGCCCAAGCAGTGGAGGTTATAGAGAAGTCTCAGTGGCTGCTAATAAAAGGGCATCGTTCTGGTTGAGCTCTGGCAATTATGTTAGAAGGATCAACAGATATATAAAGATCCCCACTGTCCTAATAGTAGGATTTCCTGTCTGATGTGTAATTCACTCAGACTCATATTGTGTTCTGAACCAACACAACCATTTAATCAGCCTTATTTGAGGTTGTTGCTTTTTTCAGTTCCTAAAAACATGAGGTCACCTGTTCCTGAGCATTACTCAAGAGCTCACTGACTGTGCTCCTGGTAAAAAAAATAAAAACAGTGTGGTTTCTTCTATTTGTTTTAGGAAATGTGCCTAATGAAATATGCAAGCTTTCTTCACGCTCTCGTCCACATGCCTCCAGCCCCTTTGCTCGCATTGCCTTGGATTAGCTGGGGCTCCTGGTCAGATATTCTAGTTCAGACCAGCTGTGGCAGGATGTACCATTACCATTCCTTCAAAGCTCACAGCATTGCTGACCAATCATAGCAACAAAAGTCCAGAATAACTATCAGCCTGTCCTGGTGCAGACATGCTGCTCTACTAATTTAGCTAGGTGCTACTTTACCTGGTGTTAGTCTGTACAGGAGAAAACAAATATAAACTCATTAAAGAGATAAGACTTTTTCAGTGAAATCTAAAATCATATAAAAATATATTTCAGGCTCTAGGGATGCACGTTATTGGATTTTTGGCCGATATGTTAAAACTTATTTGGTCGATACCGATATTTTATATACTTTACTTTGTCAAACATAGCCCTCTTATTTAGGCTAATTTGCTACAAAAATTGTGTAACAGCTGTAAGAGCTGGTGACATATATTCAGTAACAGCCATATGAAATGCATAGCACTTTAACTTATATTAAATGAAAAGTGTTAAATGTTATTAGAATTAGTCAGCTGTGATGCTGTCTCACTTGTGGAGGCTTGTTCCAGGTTCCTATAGCTGCAGTGTGGGATCCTCTGCACTCTTGTGCATGAAGGACAGACTTTTTAAGATCAAAGTTTTTGTCTGTCCATGTGTCGTAAGACTAATCATGCTAACGGTGCTAACACAACGTCCAAATGTCTGAGGTAAAACTCAGTGCTATCTGCTATTAGCTTCTCATTGATATCGGAAATGACGGCTTGTAACTCGGGTAAGGCTATGTCGGAAAAATATCTCTGACTGGGGACGATGTAGCGAGGCTCAACATAGTCCACAAATCTTCGGAATACGACATCCTCAACGAAGAAAAAAAACTTCCACACCACCGACATTTTGAATTTTTCTCTCAGCCATGATCAGATCAGGTAGCGTGCGTGACGTCGTCACGTGCTGGCGCTGCAGGCATCCTTGTCACTGGGTTGTCATACAAAAACAGCACCTTTTATATCGGTGAGTTATTTTGATGGAATGGCCGATGTCCGATATTGAACTTTATAACGCTAATATCGGCCGATACTGATACCATGCCGATAACTTTGTGCATCCCTATCAGGCTCCTCAAGCCTCGGAGTCTGAACATTTAGTACCTTAGTGAGACAAAAAGTTTGTCTCAAAAATATTTACAATCCAGAACCAATAGAAAAATGGAGCTATTATAATACCTAGTATATTTGCCTTCAAAAAATATTTTTCACAGCTGCACAACTTGAAGTATAACCCGACAAGAGGTCAAATCTGGTCTACTAACAAATGTTTGTGGCTTACAGTAGTTTTAATACTATAATTAAAACCATTACAGTTCTGAGCTCATTTGAGTCCGAACATGCCCTCCGAGTTCAGAAATTAATTATATCTTCAGCCTAAAGTGTCAGAATTGTAAAAAGATTGAATCTAGGAATGCAAATTTGCACAAAGAGCTAAAAGTAAAACATTTATTTTATTTAAAATAAATAACAAAGCCTTATGTGGCAGTAAAACTTATTCTGAGGCAAAATCACAAGATATTCAAGAAACATGACATGGAGAAGGAGGAAAAAACTAAGACTGAGACAAGATACAACTAATGCCCTGCTGGTGAGCAGTGAGAAAGGAACTCACTATATACTGTATTTTTTTACCTAGAAGTCACAGTTCTTTTGCATATTTGCATGCCCTGTGACTTCTACACTGAAGCTACGTATTGATTTTTTTTTCCATATTTATAAACTAATATTTGGCTGAGATATGACCGTTTTCATTCATTCTGACTGAAAATATTGAACACTACCATTTTCAGCCGTCAGATGGCACTCAAATTGTATGGCATGCTGTTGTGTCATGTAATAGTTAAAAGTGGCTATTAGTGACACAATCAGCTTGCCATAACAAGCCACCATCGTCCAGCTCGCCTGGAACAACGGTCAAATCAGCTTCATTTTGCTGCGTCGCCCTGGCAAAATGCAGCTGATTTGACCACTGAAGTGCATTTATTAAGAAAAAGTTCAACTGAGACCCACCTTTACTATAAAGTAGAGCAAACAAGTAATTGTTTTTAGGTGGTTATCTTGCTAAATTTTGAAAAAATGCGCAGCGAGTTGTCCTTCTGCGCGTTCCCGCAGCCGTGAATCGACTTCTGAAATGCAGCTGATTTGACCGTCAGAGTGCATTTATTAAGGAAAAGTTTAACCTTTTCTATAATTTTGAGCAAACAAACAATTATTTTTAGATGTTATTCTTGTTAAATTCTTGTTCAAATCCTCCCGTGCCCACTCCCACGGCCGCCATTTTGCGATTTTTGACACAACACCGGCCCACATTTCCGGGTTCGCCCCACATTTCCAGGTTGTCAGTGGTGACGCGTAACAAACGAGACGCATCAGCGGTGACGCATAATAGATGCGACTTATATGGCGAAGCCACGTATTTATGGATTTTTCCACTTTATTAGACATGTTTGGACTGATGTGACTTATAGGGCGGTGCAACATGTACGGTGGAAAATACGATAGGACTGAGGTAAATGGGAAAGAGGAGACACTTGAGCTAGCTGCTGACTAAAGGTGGGAGTGGGCGTGGCAAGCTGAGTGAGAGAAGAACTGACTGAGGATGAGTGAGAGATGACACAGGAAACACAGGGAAGCTGAAAAATAAACATAAGTAAGAAAAGTTAGCCACAGAAATCACAAAAGACGATACCAAACCAACAAATACCACAGACCCCGTCATAAAGCTAGGCTGTATTATTTAGTATTCTCTTGCCTGGACAACAACAGGAGAAAGTAAGTCTATCATTTAAATAAAATTACCACACAGTTTAGAAAAGCAGCTTTCAAAAATGTAACATTTCCATAAATGATATTTGACAAACATTAATTCGCCTGAATAACAATAAACTCTTTACTAGTTGTATTAGGGGATTTTTAATTCCTCCTCTTTTTTTTCTTTTTCTTGCAGATGTGGGGGCAACAACATCATGCTGCTGACGAAGGCTTTCAGAAAAAAGTTCATCATCCCTGACTTTGAAAAGTTTACCGAGCGGATCAATAAGATGTACGAGAGCGCACACAAACAAGAGGGAGGATGTGTAAGTAAGAGACGTACAGTTTCAATGTGTGCGTGCTCCTTGCAGCGCACTCACACGTGTTTATGTTTTTATTTTGTCAGGTAGCTAATTACATTCCTCAGCTGGCAAAGTTCAGCCCCGAGCTCTGGGGTGTATCCCTGTGCACAATTGATGGGCAGAGGTGAGCAGTGATTGATCTGTGCTATCTGCTGCACCCTTTGTACAGCCTTACATCTGCTCTCACTTTCTGTGCCTCCCCTTTGTTGTGCAGATACTCAGTGGGTGACACCAAGGTCCCTTTCTGCCTGCAGTCGTGTGTGAAGCCTCTGGAATACGCCATTGCCGTGCACGAGCTTGGCAGTGAACACGTTCACCGCTTTGTGGGCAAGGAGCCCAGTGGCTTCAAGTTCAACAAACTGTCGCTAAATGAAGAAGGCGAGTGATTTACGTAACCACCACCAGTTATCTGACAAAAACAAGCTTTAACTGTGATACTGTTTATGACCCCACAAGTTGGTGCTCGCCAGGCCAGCACTGTAAATAAGAATATGTTCTTAGTGTTTATTTCTGGTTAAATAAAGGTGAAATGAAAAGTGAAAATTAAATTTGCATGATCAGAATAATTTTAACAGCAGTGTCCAGAAACCTCACAGTCGCTAATTCAGAGGTTTGTCAGTCGCCCGAGCACGTCCTCACATTTGTTTGCACGTTTGTGTGTGAAGTAGCTGCTCTGTTGTCGGTGGTTTTCAGAGTGGTCCAGTTGTTCAGCAGTAAGTCTCACCCAGTGGATTATTATAAATTATGGAGTCAGTCAATGTCTGCCTGTTAAAACAAAACTGACTAAAAGTTTCGGCTCAAACAAGAACTAAAGGAAACAGGACCATCGTAAAACCAAGCGTGCATACAAGACCTCCGCCGTTCTGACCACAAATGTCAATTGACAGAATTACCAGTAGACGGGCTGGACAGACCATTAATTTGTCTTTAATCTTCTTTAATCTCCCCTCTGTGTGCAAACCTCATCTGCACTGAAATGTTTTCAAATCTGGATCAGCGTCTCTACCAGCCTTTGTTTTCAGCATGCTGTGAAAGAGACAGAATTTTAATAGAATCAAAAGTTTTGCCGTTAAACGTTTAGCTAATCATTTTATCCCCTCACCTTTGTAGCCATGTGCCAGTTTGGTTTATTAGCTAGTGGTAAATGGACACCCCCCACAGGAAATATATCTCTACTGTCAGGGGTTTATTGCCTTTATGGTTAGAGGCAAAGCGGTGACACTTGAATTAATTAATTTATTTATTTGTGCAGATAAACCACACAACCCTATGGTGAACGCTGGAGCTATCGTCATCAGTTCTTTGATTAAGGTAAAAAAAAAAAATCAATAAAAGGCCAATTACCAAATACTTTATTGCTCTAATTTCTATTTTACAGATATTTATATTTTACAACACATATACTAAAGTATTCAGCCATCATTGAGTCAAGACAAACTGAAAGACGTTTCAAAAACAGCTGATCAGGTTTAAAAATATATATATTAATGTCTAGATTCAAAGCTGTTTGTGAAACAACATTTTATTCTATTTTAACAACTTCTAATACAATTTAATTCAATAAAGGAACTTTTAGGATTTATAGCTTTAATAAATGTAGCTCCTTGTGAATCATTATGTTGCCATTATTAGTTTTTGTGTTAATGTAAAGAAATGTTTTGGTGAAACACAGACACGTGACTCTTGTTCTTGTATTTAGCCTGTAGGAGATAAACTCGTTCAGAAAACTGCATTAAAGCTGTTTTTAAATGTCGGATCAGAAGCACAGGGTTTAAGCTGAGCAAAGAGCCTGAGCTTTTCCTAGCATGAACATTTCTGAGGTTTTCTGAACTACAAAATGACCATACGACATATCTAAGTCCTGACCTTCTGGCCTTTGTGGCAGCTGGACTATGGTCATATGACATGCTGTCAACATGTGATGTTATATGTGAGCTAATTATGGCCCTGTTTGCTCCACAGAGTTGTTTTTTTAAAGTTTCACAGCTGACTGTAGAGAAGGTCATCCTATCAAATTGTGGGTCGAGTTTAGCAGTAAGGGACAGACGTTAGAAAAGGTGTGTGTGTGTGTGTGTGCGTGCGTGCGTGCGTGCGTGCGTGCGTGTGTGTGTGCGCGCGCTAATGGCCAATTGCAGCTGCCAGATCAGAGGGTGTGTTTGCCACCCTGATTCTGCGTGCAGATGAGGAGACAGTGTTTGAACAAGCAGGGCATATCTTGTGTTTAACATTTACAAGGTCACACATTATAGGATAAAAGATTGTGCTCATAAAATAAATAAATAGGAGCAGAAGGACAAAGTTTTTCTTAGCTCTTTTTAGTCCCCTTTGTATTCCCACTTTTATGGAAATCGCCGCCTATAAAAATCTGAATGTCTTGTTCAAAAAAAGATGAAACTACCTGTAAATCCATAAAAACTAACAGCTTTAATCCTATAGGTCCTCCCCTCAGCTCGCAGTAGTCTATAATTTTATCCTTTAGGTGCAGGCATCAAATATGAATGTGAGCTCTGTTCCTTTTTAGTCTCTGCATGACTCCGTAAGGATCCTTTACTGGTCCATGAAATTCTAGCACGGCCATGAACAGCTGAGCCACACAGAGCACGTCTCCACATGGGGAGACATGCTCAGCTACAACGTGGACACGTCACACCACCCACCCGAGTCTGCGCTCGAACACTGCCACCTGTAGGGACACACTCCTCACACCCTACAGGTCTGACTGTAGAAAATGACTCTTCTTCTTCTCTTTTGACAGCCTCATGCAAATAAGGCAGAAAGATTTGACTTTGTAAGTAAAGTCTTGAAATGTTACTTTTTAAAATTCTTTTTGAATTGTTTCCCTCCTGAACTGTCTTTAAATAAAATGTTACAGATAATGGAGTTCTTGAAAAAGACAGCTGGTGCGGAGTACGTGGGCTTCAGCAATGCAACGTAAGAACTGTGCTTTATTAAACACGAAACAGTTCTCTTGACTCTTTTCTTGTTCATAAAAGGCTGTTTTACACGTCTGTGGTTTTACTGCAGTTTCCAGTCAGAGAGAGAGACCGGTGATAGAAACTATGCAATTGGTTATTACCTGAAAGAGAAAAAGGTTTGTGTTGTTTTATTCTCGTCTTTTAGCTGAAATCCTGTCATGATGACGTTAATACACAGAGGTGTGTGCTGACTCTGACTGTAACTCTTACAGTGCTTTCCTGACAGTGCAGATATGACTGCAGCCCTCGACTTTTACTTTCAGGTAACCAGATCGAGTGCTCATCAGTCGCTTGATCAGTTTTATCCAGACAGAAATGTCTCCACAAATATTACAGAAATTGTATTTATGATGAAACGGTACGTGCGTTGCATCCAGACAATAAGTCACTGACTGAGTTCACTTTTTGTCTAGTAATATAAAGAACGTTTGTCCAACAATTTTAGATTGAATTCCTTAAATACTTGAAGTTCAGTGCTTTTGAAAACTGTTAAATGAGTCAAATGAGAAGCACGTAAAAAACATCATGTTGTCCCTCCTGTGTTACTGTGAGGATATTACTATAATAATAACAATAATAATAAGGCAGTTAATCACTAGATTTGTTCACTTACCATATCTCTGGATTCTGCAGTGTCAGCATGTGTTTTAACTCATCACTCATTGTGGTTTCCAGTCACTGATCTAAATAACATATTCTACAATCAAACTGAGCACCTGTTTCCCCCCAAAAAGATCAAATAAAATCTCTGTAGTCTTCTTGTCAGTACTAACAAACACAATTAGTGATGAGCTAAAAGCAGAAATCATTTATCACTTAAGGACCACAACAGCAAATATCTTTTTTAGGATTATATATGTATGTATGTATATATATATTAGGGTTGTTTATAGTCCTCTGTGTTATGTACAAAATCGGTTTAATGTAAAACTCTTTGAACCTCACAGAATCATCAGGGTTTGTTACACAAATCTTGATTTTTTTTTTTTTTTTTAAGTTTAACTCAGGAATAAATACTTCATTTATTTGACCATCTCTATTTATAAAACTCTTGCAGCCTTTATGCCCAAAAGTCATTCCTGTCAGCAGCCATTTACCTGGTTTGTTTCAGATTTAGGGGAACATTTGAATGATCATTTAAATATTTTTGGCCCAAAGTTGTTTCTTGTTACACTTTAATAACAGCCAGCTCACTTTGTGCGAGACGTTTAAGGAACACCAGGAAGTTGTAGTCGCAGACAAAACGAACACGAGTGACTGAATTGGTGTAGTCTTATTTCTGCAGTTTGAGCCTCTGTATGTCTCTTTGCTCCAGCTGTGCTCCATTGAGATGAACTGTGAGTCAGGAAGTGTCATGGCTGCCACGCTGGCCAACGGAGGCATTTGTCCAATCACAGGTGACCGTGTGTTAAGTGCCGAAGCCGTTCGCAACACGCTGAGCCTCATGCATTCCTGCGGGATGTACGACTTTTCAGGGCAGTTTGCCTTCCACGTGAGTCCCTTTAATTTAACTTACTATGTTGTTAAGATCATTAATGTCCCTGCTGATAACAGGTCATGAGATCCTTTTCCAGGCTTCCCTTTTTGCTTTTCCATTTTTAGGTGGGCCTTCCAGCAAAATCTGGAGTTTCGGGCGCTGTACTGCTGGTGGTTCCAAATGTCATGGGCGTTATGTGTTGGTCTCCTCCGTTAGATCGGCTTGGAAACAGTGTCCGTGGCATCCACTTCTGTCAGGTTGAACTTCTACAGATTTTATTTGTTCTTTAATGTGACAAACATAAAACACTCTGCATGTAAAAAATGTTATTTTACTGAAACCTATACTTTTTTTATAACTTTTCACCACTTGGTCCAAAAGGAGCTTGTGTCTTACTTCAACTTCCACAACTATGACAATCTGAGGCACTTCACCAAAAAACACGACCCCAGGAGACGGTCAGACGATGATCCGGTAAGTTTGGTCCCTGCTTGGGCTTGTGAACAACAAATCAGACTTACTTATCTAAAACCTCACAGGCTGTATGAATTAATGTTCATCCCTTTAACAGCCAAAGCCAGGCACCTCTGCTCATATTTGAATTTCATCCATTAGAACAAGTCAGTGGTAAACCTGATGTTTGCAGCGTACAGTGGAGACGTCTCTGCCCTGAGGAGGTCTGTAGAAATAAATAAACACTATCTTACATTCTTCACTAGAACATTTTGGTAAATAAAGTTTTACCTTGTATGTTAAATGTGACTCTACAGACAGTGGCTTTTTATAAAGGCAGATAAAGAAAGAAGGTTTGATTGAATTCAATGTTTACCAGCATATGTAAGGTTCACTGATTGTCATTATTGTGTTTAATAACTAAAAAAATGTGTTAGAAGTCAGTACAAGTAGTCAAAACATAGTTTAAATAGTATAATACACTATAGCTTCCTGTATTAATACAGATAAAGATAGATGTACTGTCTTCTTTCTTTACCAGACCGTATCAATCTGTTCTTTTAATTTTCTTGCCAGTCTGTATTTATAGTTATACTAAACTGTACTAAAGTAGTTACTAATATGCAGCCTTTTGTAAAAATTATACTCATTACAGCTCAGCTCTTCACTGAACAGCCTGTGACGGCCTCTTTCAGTCACTTAGTTCCAGTAAATGTCCCTCCTGTCTGCAGGTTTGCTCTTTCAGCTGTGGACATGGACCAGAGGGACTACGACTCACGCACTGCGCTTCACGTCGCCGCTGCAGAAGGTGACACATTTCATCATTAGTTCACTCATTCAGTCCTGACAACGTTGGCCTTTATAAGAGTCACTGCAGTACAGCATTTACATTACCGTGTCGTGGATTCTGCTCTTTGTGCTTTGAGATTTTTTTTTTCTTCGTAGGCCATGAGGAAGCTTTAATGTTCCTGACAGAAATTTGTAAAGTGAATCCTCACATTAAAGACAGGTAGGAGTCCGATCCGATGCTGGCTCATTGTCCTGACTTGAAGAGATGATCCTTCTCCATATCTGTGTTGTATCAGGTGGGGCAACACACCTCTGGATGACGCCATGCAGTTTGGCCACGATGCCGTCGTTTCAATCCTGCAGAAATACCTCAGTGTGTATAACGACAGGCACTCGGGCAGCAGCACAGAGGAGCAGAAGACCGCACTGGACACAATGGAGGGCACTCTTTGAACCTCACGGGATCATCTGGGTTGGCTACGCAAAGCTTGAATTATATATATATTTTAAGTTTAACTCAGGAATAAATACATTTATTTGAACATCTCAGTAAAACTCATGCAGCCTTAATGTCCAATATCCAGACCTCTCAGCAGCCATTTGGTTTGTTTCATGCAGGGGACATTTTGAATGAGCAGTTTAAATGTTTTGGTCCAACGCTGACTCCTGTTAGTTTCATAACAATCCTTTCAGTCCTGTACTCCTGAAAAGACTGAAATCATACAAGAGAATTGAGGAAACTTATGAAAGAAATCATTTTTTTAAGGAAAATTGTGAAAATTGTGATTTTTTTTTTTGTGCTTAAGAGCATAAATGCAGGTGTCTTAGACCCTGAAACAAACAACCCAGCTTTTAGCTCGACCTACTTTCTAGATTATGTTCCAACTTTTTTACTTGTCATTGAATGCAACATTACAGAAAAGTACATTTTAACAAGATAAATGATTATTAGCACAGATACATGTTCACATTAGCCTTTATAAATGTACCTTAGACTGCCACCATTGTGAGTGCTGCTGCAGTTCCTGCCAGCAGGTGTTTCTGTTAATAACTCAGGTCAGTCTCACAGATGACTCATACCAACATCATGGCTAAATGACTAAACTAGTCACGACTAAATCTCAGACCCCAAGCTGCAGAAATGTTAGTATTTGAGAACAGATGTGCTGATTTGTTGAAGATACTGTCTTCATTTGTCAGGTTGAAGTACTGCAGATTCTCTGTAAGGGTTATTAAGTATAACTTGTGTACAAATGTTTTGGAGGAGCTGCATGATGGTGTAGTGTTGGCTCACAAGAGGTCGTCTCCGGTTTGATCGTGCACGAGACGGGTGTCTCACCCACTAAGGGAAAGCAGCTTGAGAGTTTATACAAGATGGCTTTATGTGTGTAATGTTTATTTTGACCAAAGCCCATCACAGACATAATGCTGTCTTTTTAAAATGTGTTAGTTTTAATGCCAACACCAAAGGCCTTACGCGTTTAAATTGTGTAATTAAGAACTGATATGCCTTGTGTGGAAATATAAATGCTACTTTGGTGCAAATCTTTTGATGGATAAATGCTAATAGGATGTAAATATCTAAAAAATATTTATTTTTGAAATAAAATATATTGTATTTCATTAGTATGAGTTTGTCCCCTGTGACCTGTAAGATTTCCAGTTAATTTAATAATTATTCTGCCTCGAAAAGGGAAGACTTGCGAGATATTGTGTAGGAAGAACGTTTTGTTGTGAACGTGCACTTTAGCATGCTTGTGTTTATTCATATGTATTTGCTGTCGGCACATTTCTGATAATTAACCTTAAATTGTTTGGTTTCTCACCAACATGCAGCCATTGTAAAACTACAGGCCTGTACCAAAGAACAACATTTTATCCAACAGTTGCTGTTTCTATAGTACCAATCAAAATATGCAATACAACGTAAAATAATCTCTCGTCACGATCTTTGAAGGTGCAGAAATTCATTCAGAGCTACAAAATATATACGTTTTTTTAATCCTTTGAGGGGGTGGGAACTATTTCAATGGTTATTTTAAGTCTGAACTTTTCCCAGCTCAGTTTTTAGTCCTTACAAGGACAAATTGTTTTGGTTTTTTTGGGAGGGAGGAACTAAATGAATAACCAGGAAGCCCCAGACTAACACCAGCTACAATCATTAATTCTTATGCTGTAAAAAACAAAACAATGGATCATATTAGAATACCAATTCAATGACGGATGATTTTTACCAGCAGACGTTTAAAAATCTGCATGAACTCAATATGTAAACGTTGTCAAGCTTTTCTAAAAATACGGTAAATGGTCATTTAAAAAAATAGCATTTTATTACATTTGCACAGAATATCTACATCTTCTGCACTGCTTTGCTCACTGTAAATAATTCTGCTGTAAATTGAAAACAATTGTTGAAACGGTTTAATTGAATGGATTTTATTAAACAATATACAAGAACACGGGACTGAAAGACGTTTTGATTTGACGTTTATATTAGAGGTGCACCGTTGCAGTTTTCTGTCTGATCACAGATTGATTTCTAAAAAAGCCCGACCTGTCGATTCCAGTTTTGTTTTATAATCAACACAGTCAGGCGTTATAATGCACCTTCAATTTTACAATCTTATTTTATTGAAAAACATACCCTTGAACAATATCCTAGAAACTATACAAACTTGTTTTAACTGGCCATGAGGTAGTGCTCTGAAATATAAATTAAGTTTAAACAATTGTTGTAAAACTACAAACAAACAATAAAATCAGTTTCTCGTGTATCAGCCGATCTTCCAAAATTAAGGAAATCGGGGCCGATGAATTGGCCGGACAATTTATTGGTGCACCCCCTAGATTCTATTAGTGAGAAATACCACAGCATTCAGTATAAAAGAACGTGGCAGTAAATGTTCCTCTCAGGTCCAGCCACCGTTAGTCCATGAGGTCAGACATGCAGCTCACACACGTCTGTTACAAACGACACACAAAGATCTCGCATGACGATTAACTGAACTTAACCATCAACTTTCAGTGATTTCCATTAAAGATATTGCTATTTTTCCTGAAAGGTTCTTTGATCATGAGAAGTGCTGCCCAAGTATCAGATCCCTTCTGCTGGCCCACGTGACCAGTACCACCATCTGTTGATCCCACTTCACTTCAGGCCCTCCGGTTCCTCCAGACCCGAGTGTGTGAGCAGCTCCCCGTCCCAAAGTCCAAACGCAGGGCAGAGAGGAGAAGTGAACTGAGCGTTGAGGGCATGGATGATCCGGGGCTTCTCGGTGTCCACCAGTGCCAGGAGACCCGCTTCGTAGTCGAGCAGGATCCCCACGCGGTCAGGCTTTCCCACCAGGGTTACTGGAACCACCTTACCCTTGGTCATGGCGAACCACTTCCTCTGAGCGAAGCCAAACACCCAGGACGAGCTGCTGGTGCCGACGCACTCGTCCCTGCACATCAGCGCCTCTGCCACCCCCACACGAAACTCCTGCGACTTCTTGACCGTGACCTCCCAGTAGTGGCGTCCGCTGTCGATCCTCGCGTCGCCCAACACCACGGCCCACTCCCTGAAGCGCTCGGGGTTGTCTTGGACCTGGGTGGGGTCGAGGCCCAGCATGCGGTAGATGATTCCCGTGTCTTTCTTGAAGAGGTCCAGGCTGCTGTGAGCGCTGCGCTCATCCAGTCTGAACTGAAGGTCTGGAAGGAACAACAGAGTTTTAACTTTTTATTTAATATAGAATTACAGATGTTTTAGTTCAGAGTCTGTTTGAGTTTAAATTACTCTCGTCCACCGCTAACGGCAGTAAAGTTCTGCATGTGTTCATTTGTCAGTATCATTAATAAAACATCTCATGAAGCACCAACATTTTTCAGTCAGGTCATCTGGACAGTTTCTTTTTTTTGTGCTGAAACGTTTCGCCTTCGATCCAGAAGGCTTCATCAGTCAAGGAAACACACAACAAAACTGATTCTTCCCCCAACAGCTTACTCCAAAGTGGAACAAACCAGTTCTGCTTGTGATAAGATGGTCTCTTTGGTACACCCCCTCCTCCATTGCCGGCCCTCTTCCTTGTTGACAGTCGGCCTTTAATTTACTTTACTTTTATAATGACATCATTTAAATTATTTACATCTATCGTTCTCATTTGCAAGAACTGGTTGCTTCATTTTGAAGGGAAATAAATCAGTTTTCTGTCAGCAGCTGGATGTGTGGAACATCTGTTGAAGCGCGTCAACATATGCAGCGTGGATAAACACATTTAGGTCCACACGGGCAGGAGACAGAAACATGAGCGTTCAGACGATAAAAGACTGAAAACGTCTGATTGTCTTGATACTGATGACGTTCAATATTTAGTAAAAAGGAGAAAATGTTACATTCAGAAGTTCAGCGTTTTTTTCAGCAGCACTTTGTCAATGTCAGTTTATTTATATATAGCACATAAAAACAACAAAAGTTGACCAGTGCTTTGCAAGGTAGTCAAATTAAAATGAAAATGAGAAACAAAACACGTAAATACAGCCTGTGTTACTGTTTAAGCACAAGACGGTTAATGAAATACAACACGCAACAAGAAAATCTGCTCTAACTGGAGTGTAGATGTTAGACGATCACATAAATATGATGAGATCAGACTTTTAAAACTTTAAAAACAAGCACTAACATTTTAAAAATCAATCCAGGAGTGGACAGGAAGCCAGTGAGAAGCCAGGACGGGGGATGTGTTCATGTCTTCTAGCTGTTGTTAAAAGATGAACTGCAGTCGTTCAGTAAAAATATAAATCCAGTTTCCTTTTGCAACTTTGACTTTTCTTCACAAAAACTGAAGACCCACAAGACTTTGTGGTTCTGGAGTTTTATCCATACGTGGTGCCGTACAATATATTGAACACAATATCAGTGAGTGAAATATCAAGATCACAAAAGACTGTAATAAATCCTCCATCCATCCATTCTCTTTACCCACTTCTTCTTTTCTGAATCACTGGGATCACTGGTGCCTCAATCCAGCAGTCGCTGTGTGAGGCGGGGGACACCCTGGACAGTTCAGTGTCCATCAAAGAGACACCATTCACACTCAAACTCATCTAGGTGGTAATATTTAGATACCAGTTAATAAAATGTATATGTTGAGCTTAAGAACGTTATTTTTAAACAATTTATTTTTATTTGTGACAAGCAGTTCAGTAAATCCAACAGTTTAAAAAGCTCCAAGTCTTTAGATAAGCCTGTTTTTATATTTATTACCCAAGCTTTTAGATGTTTTCTTGTATTTTCTATAGTGTTGTGCATGTTCTTAATAATGTGTTATATTCTATTTATCATAAAGTACATAATGATGTTAGCTGTCCATATCAATAAATTATACAAACATATTATTTAGTTACATTTCCTAAACATTTACACATTGATGAAACAAACAAACAATGATGAGTCCAGCTACAGGCGGGAGGTGGAACACCTGGAGAGCTGGTGCAGAGAGAATAACCTTCACATCAATGTGAAGAAGACAAAGGAGATGATTGTGGACTTCAGAAGGAACAAAAACACCTACACCCCCCTGAACATAAGAGGATCTGCGGTGGAAGTGGTCTCCAGCTACAAATACTTGGGTGTACACATGAATGACAACCTCAGCTGGAGCAACAACACCACCAGCCTGATCAAGAAAGCTCATCAGAGACTCTACTTCCTCAGACGGCTGAGGCGAGCTGGTCTGGGAAGCTCAGTCCTCACCTCCTTCTACAGGTGTGCAGTGGAGAGCATCCTGTGCTC